ACCTTCTTCATCACCTTGAGGCTGAGTCTCCAGCGCAGGAGCTGAGGCATCATCTGAATTCAGAATGGAAAAGATTTGCAAGGAGACTACAATTATGAGAGTAAGCTAAATAAGTGTACATACGTGACTGATACTAATGATTTGCACATAGCCCCGGCCGGTAAACAAACAATAATTTGAACATTATTTATAGGCACTACACAGCTTAGAAATATTACTTGTACAGACTACAGATTATAAATGGATAGCTATTGAGGTTATGGCTGATGAAATGATTGCAGGGTCTTTGATGAGGCAGGAAATGATCAGGTCGCTCCCTGGAAAGTAATTCTTCATTGTTAATGCTGCACATTGATACCTACAGATTGTAACTGATCAAATCAGCATTTCCAAAGAAGTAATTACATAAATGTATAGAAGGGGTAAGACCTGTGAAGGCAAAAGCAGTCTGGGGCAAAGGAGTGGCTGCAGATATGTTGACACCTTAAAATGAAAGGAAAGTTTCTTTCAGCACAGCACAATCTATTTAATAGTCAAGATGATTTTATAAGCAAGATTCACAGATTAAAAAAACAGAACATTGTTTGCATAATTCTTATCCTCTGGTCAGCTACCTCCATCCATCTACTACCAAACATTACTGCAAGAAAAGAGGGGGGAAAATTTACAGAAATGATAAAAGGATGTGGGTAATTTTAGGTTAGGTAAAACACAGTGGAAGTAGTGCTGGAAAAGAAAAATTCAATACGAAAAATTGTTATCTTTCTGTGAGAAAAAGCGGTACCCAAAGGCCTATCTACCTTATTACGTTTTCGGGGGGGGGGGCTGGGGGGTTTCAAGTATTGGGAAAATATGACTTAGTAGGCCCTGCTAGCACGTATTTTCCAGTCATTGCTGTTTCCTGTAGCATGGAGCTCATTCCCAGACAAAGACGTCCCGCAGTAAACAAACAGCATCTTCCATACATGGGTTTTATTAACATTTATTGCAGTTTTACAACTGGATCTCAGACCAACATAGTTTCCAAATTACTTTCCTGGTGTTTTCATAGAAGCTAGAACCAAAGGTAACTGAGAAGCTTCCTCTTGCGTGTAGCTCTACCGGGATAACAGTGAGGAGCAGCTTTAAGGCTAACACACTACCTGTTTCCATTTCTTCTTGCTACTGCAATTCAAAACAGCTGCCTCCTGTTCTCCTTGTTGTCACCATCACAGGAGTTTTTTTGGGTAAATCTGTATTGTCTTTATGCAAATCATGCAGAGGATTTGGAAGCACTCTGACCTTTCCCTCTGGAGGCCACAGCTTAGTTCACAGCAAATGCAGATAACAAGTAAATTGTTATTGGAACACTGATCTCCATGCTTTTCACAAAACCAAAGCAGCAGCAATAGAAACATATTTTCACTGTGGAATGTTTTAACCGAAGCATAAGGAGACTTCTTTTAAAAATGCTCATTCTTCATGTCCACGCCAGGACAGGGTACTTTGCTCTGATGCCATAACAGACTGTCACTTCTCGTTAGTTTTGCTGGCATTTTTGTGGTGTCCTCTGGGTGGTGAAATAAGACCATTGATTAATTTCAGAGAAGCCATCAAGTATCCTAGTGCACTGAGAATCAAGACATACGTTTAGATCATCAATCAGTATGTCATTAAGAAAACCCAGAATTTCAAATTTCAATATTCAAATTTCAATATTTCAAATTTCAAACCCAATAATTTCAAATCAAACTGAAAACTTGGTTTTCAGTTTAAGCAACATTTTTCTAATCATCTTTTGGTACACAATTTCAGTTTGTGACATATTTGATCTTATGTTATTACCTGAAATTCAGATATAATGTTGCAACTTTATGGATTATCAGCCCAATCAAAATTAGCCTCTTGAACTTTGTTCGAGCAGCATTTAGAAAAGTTTATGAATTTTTTATATTTAAAAAAAAAACAAACAACTCAACAGATGTTTAATGGTTGAGTCATAAAACTGGCCTCAGGTCCCCCCAACCCAAAAGAAAGAAAGAGGTTTGCTTCTGGTCATCAATGAACCAAACATTTGGTACAGCATAACTGTATAAGGTTTTAACTGCACTCCAGAACTGGAGGAGCTTCAACTGCTCCTGAACTATGCGTAATCTCCACAAAGACACCTGCATTAATTTTCTGTTTGCACCTTTTCATAAAATCCTTTTGTGTTAAGAATGAAAAAGCATGTGGCATTTCATTGTTCAAAACAACATTCAATAGAGAGTCACAACCGCAGAGCAGTTCATCTTCATGTTAATTAGATACCTCAGAGGTTAATTGCATAGGCCTTCCTGGCTGGTATATGCATACCATTCTGTATGTACATACATTTAAACAGAAACCATTCTGTTTGCCGTCAGAGTTCAGTTACCAAGATCATATTCCTGCAGTCAGCTCAGAATCAAAAAAAAAAGGATGGGATCTCATCTCTGACACGTGCTTTTCAGATAGTCTGAATATTTTCCTTGGATAGAGGAGGGAACTGCAGGGCCAGGAAAGATACGTTAGGAATTATCTTTTAAGCTTTGTTCCTGTTTGGTTTAATATGCAAATTTGCAAACATGCAAACACAGCTCCTGACCTCCAAAATCTGCAGATGGAAATTTTATTTCAGTATTGGAACACCCTGAGAAAGTCAGGTGCACAACTGCAACACATACGGCCCGCCAGGTCATCTCCTGTGAGTCTCTGTGGGACATCTTCAAAGAAGAGACTGTGTCAAGCTAAGTCTTTGCTGTCTCTTGAGTAGAGTCCTCAAGACCACACTTGAAGGTCTGGAGTGTGTCCTCTGCAGCAGTGAGAACGTTGTGAACCTGCCTAAACTTGCTGGGTTACAGTACAGGCAAGCACCCACATCCAGGTACCCCTGGCTAGTCCACAGGAACACGCAGAGGAAAGATGATCTAGGAGTTCTATGGTTTTGTTTTTCAAAAAATACTATTTTGACCTTTCAAACTGAGCTACAAAATACTTTTTACTACACTGACCGTGAAGCCAAAGCACAGCTCTTTAATTCAGATAGCTGATCCTATTCACTATGCTGAGATGGTCCCTAAGGAGGTTGTGATGTGTCTGACAACATGACTTTGTTTAAAGCATAAGGCAGCGACTGGCTGGAAGAAGGGTGGCAAGAGGAAGTTAGCAGCATCCAAGAAGAGCCAGGGACCACGTGGGAACCAGGTCAGCAGCCCCTCATGCTGCAGGCTTGTGCTGGAGAATAAAAACAGGGCGTGAGTAAAATGCAACCATGTTGTTTTAGACACATATATGTGATGCAAAGGGATAAACTGTGTTCATTTAGGTTCCTGCTTGTATGACTGCTAATTCGGGGTTCAGCAGCTCAGTCGCCACAGTCACAAACAAAAATAAAGGATTGCAGATACACATGGGACAGTTCTTTCAGTTCAAAGCTGAAAATGAAAAGTCCTGACCTAAAAGAAATGGGTAGCTTAAGGTTAGTGGAACCCACAATTTGTCTGCAAATCCATGAAGGAAGAATTTTCCAGTACTTTGTAATTGTTAGCCTTTAAAGAAGTACTGCTTTTCTTAACCTAACAGTGCAATAGTTCATTGCAGTCGGGTGTATTACAATGCTGCAAAAGTTCCTGTAAAAAAAAAATTCAATTATATTTACAGTGGACCAGTCAGTCATTAACATTAGTGTGAATATGAGTAACTTCTTTAATTTATGCCAGTGTAACTGACAGCAACATTTAGTATGCTATTTTCAGCTGAATTTAAAATTCTTTCAAGTGTTTGGAGAGTGTAAGCTTTAATTTTGTTTCAAGCATAGACATCTCCCTCATTTAAATCTACCAGCTATGTTGGAGCCACATCAGACTTTGTCCTGCCAACAAGATATACAGCAGGATCTATCTCTAACAACAACAATCATCTGGCCATGAATGTAAGCCATCAGATAAATTAATCACAATATAGAGAAAAGTGTTGGGTCCAAGATGACTCAAGCACTGATTGCTATGGAAATAAAGTGAGGACTCCCGTTCCCGAGATTTTGGGACTGCAGAATGCTGTCTGTATCAAACAGACAGAATAATCTGTCCTCCAGTGCAAGAAAACAGTATGGGAAAATATTTCAGAGTATAGCTATGGGAAGAAAAGCTATTTTCCAAACAGCACAGAATAGCAAAGTCTGTAGGACTGAGACTAGAAAAATATGTCTATATAGACAAATAAATATGTCTATATAGACAAAAGCATGCATACATATATATATGTTCATATTTGCAAGTTTACTAAATATCTACAATGCAGACATAAAATGAATAGCATGTATGCATCTATATGTATTATATATGCAGCTATAATGCATGACGAATATATATTGATAATTTAAACCTATGGAAAATCACAGTGGGGTATCCCACAGCTATTTTAGTTTCTATTTAAAGGCCAACTAAGATATTTACCTGTTTTTCCCGCACCTTCTCGTTGTGGCAGCTTCTCACTCACTGAACCTGCAATTGGAAAAAGGAATTAACCAGAAAAATATTATTTTCACTTTTAATATGTTTTCTGAGAAACACAGCTCAGCTTTAATGATTCATTCTTGTTTATTACAGCAATAAATATCAGCAACTTCTTCCCTTGCAAACCCAAGATTTCAGCTTTGCCTGACTTCTGCATTTGTGTACAACCAATTTACTGCTAGAGCCTGAGCTGGTTGCAAGAGACGTCCTCAGAGTTGTGGCCCTTAGGAAAGGAGACAGCAGCGGTGGGAAAGGAGAGAGGAAGGGGGCAGGAGACATGTTTTAACAGTTTATGCTGCCAGCCTGGACACTAACCCAGCCTCCAGCCTTGAATCCAAGTCATCAAGAAATGGAGAATCCATTGGTTTTCTTAGTAGTTTTTACAAAAGCTAGTTGTCCTTGGCGTTTAAAATCGAAGCATTTTCTTATTTCTCACTTATCCCTCATTATTACAACCGTTTGTATCAGTCTAACTCCTAGACCCTTCTTATCACCATACTGAAAAACATCTTTAAAAGTGGTATTTTTTTCTTTGGAAAAAAAAAAAAAGCAGCATGTCTATCAATTCTTACCACACGATCTCTTCTTACATACACCTGTATTAATGAAAAAGAACAAACCAAAACAAAAAAACCTCTCAACTTACACGCTTAGAAGTGTGTGAAATAATTTGGGCCTTAATTTTCTTAATTTATTTCCCTCTGGAATAACAAAATTCACTGGGTTTAAAACAAACAAACAAAAACCACCAATCCTTGCAGCACAATAAATCTGTTCTAAAAGGACAATTTAAATAAGAGAACCCACTAAATCACAGGCCTTGTTTACCATGCTGAACTCATGGTTACTTCAGCACAAAGTTTAGACACAGGATTCTGCCAGAGGGAAGACTAACATCACAGAATCACAGAATAGAAGGGGTTGGAAGGGACCTCTAGAGATCACCCCAACCCTCCTGCCGGAGCAGGTACACCTAGAGCAGGTTGCTGATTTTAAATCCTCCATAAAAGAATACATGACAATGTAGCCAAGCTGGTATTACCGTCTGAAGGATTCTGCTTCTAATACAGCTTTTATACATCCATATCAAAAATATTCTAGTTTAGATTTGTTTCCTTTTTTGATGGTGTATTCTTATTGTATCACATTTGAATCGCTAGAAATTCAATATACTTAGTGATGCATCAGTATTAATTCAGGCAGGAAAAATAAAGCCATTATCATTGCAGGAATTATATCCAAGGGTGTTTGGGATAGCTTGCTCTAAATAGACTGCAATACTAATCCATTGTGTTCACTCTGAAGAGTGAAGATTCTTGCACTTCTGCTAGCTGAAGACAGAAGATCTGAGCTTTTGGGTGCTTGGCTTAAATTTGACAAGAGGCCCAGCTTGAACTCAAATGAGATGTTCCAGTTTTAGGAAGTACTGCATACAAAATTACAGGTTTTTCTAATTGCACTGAATACCAGTGATCCAATCTTTCCTCAAATTTCATCCAGTTGCAATTAACTCTGTAGTTTCTCAGTTTAATTTTGATGCACAGGAGTATAATTATAATTCTCTTGCAAATACAGACATTTTAGGTCTGGTGCATCAACACTAAGGTGTTTTACACCAATTTGTGAGTACAGGTGAGGTCTCAGCATGTGGGATGTGTGTGACAAACCCCCACTGATAGCCCCTTTGCACTAAAAAGAGTGGTAACTAAAGCCTCAGCTTGATACCAGTGTTGTCTCTCTATGTACATCCAAACCATTATTATAAATTTAACTTGAAATTCAGTTTATACCTCAGTAATTTAACTCATTCATGAAATTTATGTAATATTCCACATCTTAAACCAAAAGCAGAAAAATCTTTCCAGATTTCATTAACACCAATGTGTCTTCAGATTACTCCATCTGCATGAAATGGTGAGAAATACTGACTACATGATATTCATGTACAGTCAGGGAGAAATGAAAATTCTTTTTCTATGCTTTGTTATTTTTTACCCTAAATTTGATGGAAAATTGATAGATGGATGAAGAGAGTGGCATTCACAAAGGCTAACTTTAACATAGTGAAACCGATTTCACTATGAAATTAAATGAATGCTAGGAAAATTAGGTTCACTGGGCTAACATTATTTTTTTTAATAGTCTTAGGAAGCTAACAAAAATATTCACAAGATTTTCTACGAAGTGGAATTTGTACCTTTCACATAATTTCACCTGGAATTTTCAATTGATGCAGCAGAAACTTTGTTCTCTACAAGTTGGAGGTGGGCAGGGTTTATTGAGCTTTTATCAGGTTTTTCTACCATTTTCTGAATATATGTGAGCTAGAAGTACTTCTAGCTTAAATGGTAATAGGAAGTTGCATTTACAAGTTTCTAGGAAATTGTATCTTCAATATTCACAATGAATGCTCACATTTTCAGTGAGAAAAGAAAAAGAAATGGCAACTTCTAACTTATCCAAAAGTTAGACAATACAATCAGCTTCCAAGTTTTCAATGCAGTGTAAACAATCAAATTACCACATAAATACCTTTATGGAAGGGGAGAGGGCAAGGTGGGATATTAGATTCAGCAATATTATTTTACCAAGAAGAATTTAGTACCATTCTAGCTTGTACATTTGCTTTGCCATGTATCCATTTATGAATCTGATGATTTTTTTTTTTTAAATGCAGAAATATTAATGCCTTAGTTTATTGCAAAACCCACAATTCAGTCTAAAAATTTCTGAGACCAAATAAATCTTCCAGGGAATGTGATGTGAGTTTTGTGGTTTGTGATTGTAGCATAACCATTTTATATAGTTCTCATCATATGTGACTGGGCTTTAAAAGAGAAGGTGAAAGTCTATAAAACTAGTTTATAGACTATCTAGTTTATATAGTAATTTCTGAGCTCCTGCTAAAGAATATTTGATATGTAATCACTGAATGCAGATATCAAGAAACAGGACAGTAAACATACCATGCCATTCTGTATTTCACATGTGTGTGTCTGACTGTGTATTTATAGGGAAAGTACTATGTATTGGGACAGAAGAACTAGGTAATTCAAGGATGGATATTTTTCCCAGCTAACAAAAGCATGATAAACTAAAAACATGTAAACTAAAAACGTTCATTGCCTTCACAAATATATTCATTTTCATTGTATTATCTGATGATAATACTATACAGACAGGAAGAGTTCTGATTTTTTAATGTTACTTGTATTTTGGCCTTAGAAGTTGATCAGCCATCTTAATTGCAAGGTAGCAAAACTACTTCAGAGAATAATAAAACGTGTCCATACCTCTGCAATCTCACTGGCAGAAGCCCAGAAAAGTTAATATGGCAGAAAAACCCCACAATAGGTGAACATTGTATTCTCCAACGATAATTTAACACCTGCTTCTCAATTTCTGCCCTATTTCCCAGGACTCTGTGCCTGTGGAATTTCTGCAGTTCCCTGCAGTGCTGATAACAGAGATGGGGAGTTGTAAAAACGTCTTTTTTATGTCTGGTGTTCTTTAGTGAAAGTATTGGGGCACATTCATCATTTTTAAGGAGCTTTCTTTTTAATGCTGTCATGGGAATGTGTTTGATTTACTCTCCTTCTCACCACTGCTCCTGAAACAGTGGAGATTATTTCCATGGAGTGGAATGGCACTCTGAGATTTATCATGTGTGTTTTAGCAGCACCAAGTGTTGGTGTGGGAATAACTGGAAAGGACGGAAGAAGAGCCTCTTTCAGGTAAAGATGTAGTAATTAAGATGAAGGTTTTACATAAATCAGTTGGAGACTCCTGCATTTCTTAATGCTGCTTATAACCATCATCCTTCCACACCTTGAGCAGCACAAAAGACAGCTTCAATAAGAGCAACCAGAACAACACAATGAGCAAAAAATGGCTCACACAGCTATTGTAGATACATAAAAAAATATACGTGACACTTCTCTGTCCCAGGACCTGAGATAGCTTTGGGAAGCATCACGTTATGCAGCTAACCAATATTAACAGTTAGATAAACGTAGAGGTTGAGTGTTTTACCTATCCAATATCACACAATAAATGTGAAGCCTGGATAGGGAATGGAATCGAGAAACCAAACTCCTAACTGCCCATCCTAAATTCTGCTCCGTATTTGCTCTATTAAAATCCAAGTTCTTCCAGGGTGCCATGCTCTTCTTTCCTATTTCTGGATATTCACCAAAGTCAAAGCTGGTTCTACTGGGAGAAAATGAAAGGCAAGAAATTATCCCGTAATTTAGGAACAGCACAGTTGATTAGACATGTATTCAAACCTTATCTGAAGGTACTGAAGAACTAATCTAGAATTGAAAAGAAACACTGAACATTTGCATTAAAAAGACAAATTTTCAGACATTCCACAGTATCACATTTCCTATGAGAAAACCATTAAAAAAGCATGTTCACGATTGACTCTACCTGCCATCTTGATTGTCTGTGCACATTCTGCTCTAAAGGGAAAAGGTGGCACAAGTGATCCTGGTAGAAAAAAATCTGGCACATGCAAACTGAGAAATTTGCATAAATGTCTTTGAAATAGCTATAGCATCATGCCTGCAGAAGACACATAAGCAAGCGAAAATACATAAATGTGCTGATGTTGGGATGCCACTGCTACAGGAGATCTGCCTGCAATATCAAAAAATAGTAAGGCAATGCCTGCAGTGAGGCTAGCAAGCACACAATGTATTAGACTGACTAGGTACGCTAGTGTTGGATGAAATGGCATCCCTGAAATATTAGTTAAGACAGGAGTACATCTACTTAAATTCAGTATATCCACTAATATTTTGATTGTAATTCCTGTCCATAGTGGTACTAAAGAGAAAGCATAAAAGAGAATCAATGGTGATCTGGAAAACATCAACAGTCGTTCTGGGGGGAAAAAAACCTCTGTTATCCTAAACAGATGGCAATTTTGAACATATACTGGGAAATGGGAGAGGGGCGCAGTTGGGCTCCAGGCTTTCATTCTGCAATATAAGAGCAAAGTTTTGCCTCATTTTACCACATAGCTTTCTGTGAAAATTTGTTGAGAAGGTTTCTCCAGACCTCTTAAGACTGAGCCCTTAGCCACCACTACTGCAAAACCTCCTAGCACTTCAAATCTATTTCCAAACTGTGCTGTAGCTGGACTTCTTTCCTGAGGGACAAAGAAGAAGTGGTGAGCAGTAAAGCATGAGAGCACTGCTATACAAGCAGGGAGGAAATGTGCAGAGATAATCCCAAAGGGTCTCATAACAATTGGAAAATTACCCGCAATCTTCCATGGAGCAAAATCAGATTCTACATACTCACCTGGGCCCTGGAACAGTCTATTTGTCTCTGAGCTACTAAATTAAAATCGACTGCTACTATCACCTTCTCCTTAGCATTTATGTAAAATTAACTTCCCTTCCCATCCGTCCAAAAATGAGCTGAAGCAGTCTGGCAGTTTATCTGCTAGGCACATGAATATATCTTTGAGAGGAGCTAGGGTTTGGTTCCTGTATAGATCGAATAATAACACTCATATTAACCTATTCAATAACCTGGAACTACAATGCAGCTTCTCCTTGATAATGCTGAATACAAATAGAAAAAGTGGAAGTACACTAACTAACTTGGCAACATTTTGAGCCAAACATAATGCCATATGTCATGACACATCTGCCAAACAATTACTTGTTGAACTTTCAGCATAAGCATAACCCCTTTTTCACTGATGTCAGAGTAAGAGAGGAAGGTATAATTTGGTACTGCAGAGAAAGCAATGAAGGCGTGCATTCAGGGAAGCGCTGGTTCTGGACATGCAAAAGCACCTCTATCCAAAAACACACTGAAGCACAAAAATGCTATCCTAACCGTGTGTCTTCTGAAGATGTGATCCAGTCATAAATAATAGTTACATTAAAATGAATGCACATTTTTCTCTATTTTAAGGCTTCTGAATATTTGGTATTGTTTTTCACAACTGACTATCATTCCACAGTGACTTTACACGCTGGATCAAAAGGATTAGTCTGAAGAGTACTTTCTGGCTAAGATGCATGGAAGATTCTACAAATCATTTAAAATTAAAAGTGGAATTAACTTTTTATAATCTTTGTTGAAACTTTCTTAGTGGTCTCTTTCTTCCTCCATCTGTTTATTAAAAACATCAATATTGTGCTTGAACAATTGAAATAGATCAGACCAGGTGAATTCCCTCAAAGGCACTAATACACGTTTTTTCAGCTTCATTTATTACAAGGTTAGCTTTTTAAATCTATTTCTTCTGGTATCTGACAGAGAATGGTGCTGCAGCACAAACAGAAATGCAATACATAAACCTCAAGTACTTTAGAGCTATTTCTGTACAATTCTGTCAGCCTCAAGGAAGGTGAATAGCAATTCTGGCAACTGTTCATACCCTGGGGAGTTATATTTATTATCAATGTCAATGAAATAGGGTCAGAAACAAATTCCTAAAAAACAGTGAACCTGTTAATTGTCCTGATGAAAGATAAAGGGCAGGACACATGGCAATGAGTTTGATTTGCCAATTAATTTCTTCAGACAATGATTCCATTATGTTCTTAATGATTTGTTTCATTTTTATTTCTCCTCTGGATTTGGTCATTCATGGGATTTGCTGTGGGAGTTCTTTCATTGGGCTATGTTACAAATCAGGACATTCGCACTCCATATTTTTTTTAGGTGGAGGTTTTTTCTATACCCTAAATACTTAAAATAACAAAAAGGCAAAGCCCACTGATTTTTTTTTTTTTATATGAGTTTATGTGCAAAAGAGTTTCAACATAAAGAAAGGACTACTTCAGCAAGTCGGTTGCGTGGTGTCATATATTGACACATAAATATTGCATAAATAACCACTGCAGAAAATCCATTCAATAGCAAATAAAGTAGATGGATAAGAGAACCACAGGAAGGTTTAGGGTGGCAGTGACCTCAGAACTCATGCAGGGCTAGCTTAACAGCCACTTTCTCAGAGCCCTGTCCATCGAGTTTTGCAAATCCCCAAGCAAGGGGAGTCCACAGCTTCTGCCAGCACCTGCTTCTGGGCTGAACCACTCTTCCAGTGAAGAATTTCTTTCCTTAAGTCTAATCAGATGCCACAGATAAACTCTACTGCTCATGAGACAATGTCATAACCTGGCCAGCCAAACAAGTCTTACCTGGGCACCGGGGAGTTTTGTGGGCCACAGCAGTACCACTGATAGGACGACCATTGGGAGTGACACACCAGCAGTACCCAGTGTAACTATGGCATTGAACCTGTCAGAAACAATATGAACCACATGCAGTTTGTCAGACATATGTTTGTTACCCCACAGCGTTCATGACATACAAGTACAAACACTAGTCCAACAAACTATATTGAGAAAACCTAGAACAATAAACCATAATGGACCTAATCTAAGTCCTACATATGATTCTTTAGCATATAGAGGAGTTTATTTCAAGTGAAGTATGGTAGGTCCTTCAGAATCCAATGGAAAAGAAAACTATTGAAATATGTGGTTGTTTATACCCTATTTCAGAAGAGTGAGGTGCAGGTGTTATGAAAACCTCACAATGAAGTTCCTCAAGGGACACATAAACTGTTCCTGAAGCAAGCAATCTCGAGTTTTTTTCCACATAGAGAACATATTGTTCCACCCACTGAAGGAGCAGGACAGAGTGCTTCTGCCAACATTATTCATATCCCAAGCTGTCAGAAAGGAAACTCTCAGAATTCCTCTTGAAATCAATTGCATTATATTTCCTGAGGGCCAATATCACTTCCCTCATCAGGCTTAAAATGAGAAGGGTTGTCTTCTGCGCAACTCCGCAAGTGAAATGCCATACAGAGGCAGCAGAAGGTGATCTTGATTGGGATATATATCACAGGATAAGATTCTAATTGTGTCCCTTCTGAATTCCATGATCTAACCTAAGTAAATTAGTCTCAGACCATATGCTTGTGCAGAAATTCAGCTGAGAATAAGGAAGAATCCTGTATGATTCATGCTTTAGCACTAAGATATGGACTCTGGTCACAAGATTTCTGGTTGGGATCAGGAATAGATCAGAAATTCCAAGCATTTTACCATCTGATGAGTATTCAGGGGGCTACAAGAATGACTCAGCTGCCTCAGCCTAGAAGAACAGGGAGTGTATCACATGAACAGTGGTAATGTTTGGCTCTTTTGCTGGCCAACTCTGAAAAAAAGAACAAGGACTCGGGACAAAACATGAATTTTCCTTCCATCTTTTAACATCAGTGTTAGCACAAATTACATTTTCATTTTGAAATTGCATTTCACTTCATTACATTTGTCTTTTCTTCATCCTCTGCAAAATTCTGACTTGCCAGCCATGCAAGATACTGAATGAAAAATTTTCAACCTGACTATATGTGCCATCATCGTTGCATTCTGGGATAAACACTTGTTGAAATTCCTTGCGAGCTTGTTCCTGGGTGTACTTCCTCTCAGCCACACATCTGGAAACATCTAGAGAAAGGGAGAAGACAGTTCAGTTGGATGACGAAATATGAATAAAAGATAGGTGATAACCTAATAAAGAAAAATGAAAAAGGCTGAGACCCACGTAAAGAGAACTGGGATTATAATGAGGGATAACATACAATCACTTGCATTTTTTTATGAAACAAAACCAATCTAAGACAACAACTTCTGGGCAATATTGTCCTAATTCACTTCATTCACATGCATGATAGTAACATTTTTTGCTGAGTATCATATGTGAATCACTACTATAATCATGTTCTTCCTCCTTAGACTGCCTGTCTAACCTGCGAGTCCTTTTGGTTCGCACAAATGTGCTCATGCTGCCATGAAGAGTAAACAAAACTGAAATTTTGCCACCACAAAAATGAGAGGCCACCAAGCGAAGTACAGAGGGGAAGGACAGAACTCGGAGATGAGATGGAGAGATGCCTGGAGAGACAACCTTGCTGCTCCAACTGCTTCCAAAGAGGCCCAAAAAGGGCTTTTATAAATTTAACACGACAATAGCTACCACATTTTGCCCCACAATATTCCTTCAGTGCTGGTGGCAGCACCAGCTTTCTAGTGCTTCAGGTAAGGCAAAGAAGGCAGCAGGAGTATAGCTGCCTTATATTTCCTACTGTGAGTTTACACACTGTTTACTTCAGTTAGGCAGCAATTTCAGCTGTGACTACAGGCGTGATGACCAGGCTGGTAAAAAAAAAAATATATATATATATATACTGTACAGCAGAGGTGCTTGCTGGGGAGGTGATTTAATAATAGTTTTGGACAAGCATAATTCATACTATGCTAAAATTTACCGTAACAGTTTATGATTTAGATGTGGCACAAGTCAAAACATACCACATGGTCCTTTTTTGTCCACGGTGTGGTTCCTTGCACCATCTCTTGCGTTACGTGGTACTGGTCTCCACCCAAGACAAGGTAGCAAACTATACAGCTTTAATTCAGTAGAGTTTCTATAATTTAGTATATTATATTATCTAACACATATACTACATTTCAATTAGGCAGCCAAAGGGTAAGAAAAGCCACATATTATATATGTTCTTTTGTTTAGAGCTGCTACAAATTTTAGCATGTTGCTGATGCAGAATCAATACTTCAGAATCTGCTTGAGCTAAGCAATTTCAGGACAAATGAGAATACCAGGCAAGCTTAAGGTAGAATTAATGATTTCAAGATGTGACTGTAAAATCTGAATTAGAATGATCTCAAGCATACAAGGGGAGAAATTTGCTGCTTCTGATCCCTGCTTTGTTTAAAGACTGTTTGACAGTAACTGGCTAGTTCCCTTCTAGGGCTAAAACTGTCCAGTGATTCCCTGTGAGAGGGGGGTGTTAGGGTGATTCGTGAATGTTTGTGCAGTTCTTAGAAAGCATGGGGACAGGCTTTCTCATCCATGCAAGTTCCGCATTGAACAGAATCTGAACAGTAAGGCAACACCACTTCCATTTCCTCATTGGATACCAGCATACCTTGACAGGGATTTGGCATTTAACAATCCCCAGGAGCATACAGGTGAGCTAGCTCAGTCCACCGAGGACCCTCTCTGTGCCAGTATGATCCAGACATACGTGCACAGAACCAGCATGGAAGCTGGTGCAACTGCAGAAGTCCTTTGTACAGGATGAATCTTTCACCGGTCCTCTCCACCGAGCTTTGGGCAACTCATCTGGCAACATTAGCATAAAAAATGACCTTCAAGTCCTAGGCAATCTGGTGTGGAAATGTAGCATAATGAGGACAGAAACTGGTCCTCAGCATCTGCATTCACAAAACAAATTTGGGGCCCCTTAATTCTAATCTTTGTATTGATTTCCCTTCTGGTCTTGGATTCGTGTGCACGACTTACGTGAATTAGTTTACTCTTCTCACAGGAGCATTATGAGAGTTCATGTTGGTAAAGTGCCCAAAATACAAGTTGCTTCACTTTGAAAAACTACATTTCAGTCTTAACAGCCTTAATCGTATTATGCTGCTTCAGGAGGAATATTAAGAGAGATGCAATGTTACCTAAAATGGACAGAAAAGTCCAACTATCCAGAAATGTGAGAAAACCAATAAGGAACTGAATTAATTTGTACTCTGGTACTTTAATAACTTGTTTCGTCAAGGGAAAATTATAGTCAATGTACTGTGCAGCTCAGGTAAAGTCTGTTAATGTGTGCACTGCCAAAGTTTTTTGGGGAAAAAACAAGAAACATTTTAAGCAACCTTTAGTGTTGTAAGCCTTCTTCTGAGCATGGTTTGGTTATACAGTACTTACTAACATGTGGTTTTAATGTAGCTAGTATTTTAACTGAAAATAAATCACTCCTTTGTTGGACCTCTGTCCTCGTTTTTCTAGAATGACATGTGGTTTAAATGTCTAAAAGGAAAAGTGATATAAATTCCACCACATAAGGTCTCTGGTATAGTACCAGCAGGGTTGTAAATTATCTCCGCTATTTGAATTATCATAAAAACATGCCAAGGAGAAAGAGAAGTTCTCCAAAACTGTCCACCACTTGTTCCTAAACAGCCTGATGCTCTAAAGGCCTCCTATTTGTGGATGATGTAATATGCTTTAAAATCAACAATGACCAAATTTAGTGGAATATAAAATTAATGTTTGAAGCTTTATTTTGTATTATATAACCATGGAAACTTTTTTAAGCTGTTGGGCATTACTGTGCTTCAGTATACCCAAAATAAACCCATGAGGAAGATCTCTTATCAAGTTAAGCATCTGAAACTGTGTACAGTCAAAATATTATTTCTAGTTCTGTTTTTTTATTTCACCAAGGTATTACCACAGGGGAATAACTATGACATAGAGATGTGGTCCAAACCTGATAGAAGAAATGTAATAAGGTGGTCAAGATAAAAAGAAGACATATAAAAACATTCTCCTTCAAAATACTAATGAACATCAGATTATTAATTCAGAGGAGCTAAATTCCTTCCAAATAAAACATCACTGAAGCCAAAAGAAGTTATAATATTTTTTATCATAAATTTGCAAGATCTGCCTTTGTGTCCTGGTTGCAGTACCTTCTAAATCTACTGTGCGATTTCAAACAAATTTTCCAAAGGAAAAGAGGAATTCCAGAGATTTAAGTGCTAGACATTTATGTAAAATAACAGCTGAAAAAGGACAAGAAAATTAATTCTTGCCATGACAAGGAGAAAATCTGAAACATAAGCTCACATCAAAGTATCAGACAAGAAAGATGTAGGGAGATCTTGCAGCTCCTAAGAGCTAAAAGGCAGCAACGGGTGAGATCCTAATCCATAGGGAAACGAACCTTCTGCAGAGACATTGTTTACGCTCACTCAGTGAAGCCAAATTGGGAACTCACTGTGCGAAGTCCTGTGAGTGCACCCAGACAGCTCTTGTCTACAAGCCCCTCTGTGCACCTTGCACAAGCGTAACTAATGAAGATGACTCCCATGAATCTCAAATTAGTAGGATGAGTCTAGGCTTATGTGGCTTGCCAGAAGGAAGTTTATAGGAATACTGACATCTAAGCAGATACAAGTGAAGTCTCTCACATACAGATTCAACTTTCCTCTTTATCTAGAGCAGGAATACTTCACATCAGGAAGGACCCTCATTATCTTGAAATGAAGATCGAGAATGAAAGGTAGTGCGACTTATCTGGTGCCTCTGTGCTGATTAATCAGCCCACAGCTTTGATTTTGATCATCATGGACCCTGACCAAAGCAGGCCAAACTCTTTTGGGGTGAATGGCATCACATTGGGACAAACAACCTGAAAGCAGTGGGGATTCCATGTCTGCAAGGTGTTGGAACGATGAAAAGCATTGTGCAATGTTGTGCATCACTGGAACAAGTTGCTTTGTTTCACTGTTGTTATATTGGATTTCTAGCTCTAAAAAAAAAAGTGGTGTTTTTTTTTTTTAATCTATTTTTGTTTAAACTTTTGGAACCATCTAGTGGAAAAATAAGGGGTTTGAAACTGTTACTGTTTTCTCACTAGAATTCCCACTATACTTTATTTCTCTCCCTAGCTTAATTATTAATAAGGGAGCCAGCAGGCTCAAGCCAGAATCTGGTATATGATCTGGTGAAAAGACCGTTTAGTCCTAAGACCTGTAAAAAGCTGGAAATGAGGCCTCATTTGCCTACACTCAGACAACGGGAAAAACTAATTTTGCAGATACGTATGCCCAGTTGGAATTTTTAATTATGTCAATGGTTGATTCAGTGAGACTTTACCCTCTCAACTCCAGGTAAATTGGCTTTTACATCCCAGAAGCTTGCTGGGGAAAAAAATTGTCCTGGCATAGAAACTGAGCATGAAGATGCATGAGCTTACCTTAAATTAGCTCACTTGGACTGTATTAGCTGTCAAACTGGGTTGGTACAGGGCTTGATGCATTGTAACACAGTACGTTGGCCAGTGTGTTGATCGTACCACTGTGACTTAGCACCAGGACTGCAAAGGCAGCTAGAGGTTTAAGAAGACAAAGATATCTTGGGGTGTATTTGGGTGAAGGCAAAAATTGGTGCATGGGAGTGGACAGAAACACACAGAACTGAGGAGACTACAGAGTTGCAGCTGTTTGGGCAGGGCTGTTTGCCCTGGTGATAACTCTGGCTTCCAGAGGAGACCAGTGTCTGGATGGCACAGGTGAAATATAAAGCCACCTTAATTCTGTGCTGAGCTACTATACGCAAGAGGGAAGGCTTTCACCTATGAAGTGAAGCGGCGCTGGTACACCGCTGCAGGATCCAGAGCCAGATTCTGTCAGACTTGACACCTGGGAGCACAGGAATTCCTGCGATAGCACTAAAGTCAGTAGGAAATTGCAGTACCCAACAAAATTCTGGAAACAGAATTAGCCTTACAAACAGCACAGGACCGACATGGAACTAATCTCATTTTATGCCTTATTTCCAACAGTACAGCACCAAAAACACTGAGCTTCAGAAAAAAAAGAAAACATCCATCAACTTCAACTATGCTGGC